CAAACACCAAGCTGTTAACAACACCTCTTTTGAGTGTGCCCACCCAGCCAATTCCTTACCCACCAATTGTTCCATCCACCAAACCCACATGTCTCCAACTTAGAGACAAGGATGTCATGCAGGACAGTGTCAAACGCCTTGCACAAGTCCAGGTAGATGACATCAGTTGCTTTAACCTTACCAATATTGTAACCCCATCATAAAAGGCTACCAGACTGGTCAGGCACGATTTGGTGAAGTCGTGCTGGTTCTTACCAATCACTTCGTTTTCCATGTGCCTCAGCATAGTTTCTAGGAGTATCTGCTCCATGATCTTGCCTGGCACTGAGGTGAGACTGACCGGCCTGTAGTTCCCTGGGTCTTCCTTGTTTCCCTTTTTAAAAACGGGGGTTATGCTCCCCTCTGTCGTCTGCAGAAACTTCACCAGACTGCCATGACTTCTCAAATATGATGGATAGTGGTTTGGCAACTTCATCTGCCAGTTGCCTCAGGACCTGCATATGCACTTCATCAGGTCCCATGGACCTGTACACTTTCAAGTTCTTTAGGTAGTCCCCAACCTGATCTTCTCCTACAGTGGGCAGCTTTTCATTCTCCCAGACCCTTCCTTTGGTTTCTAGGACTTGGGCAGTGTGGCACGAGCCCTTGCTGGTGAAGACTGAGGCAAAAATAGTCACTGAGCACCTCAGCCTTTTCAATGTCCTGAGTGACCAGGTCTCCCATTGCCTTCCAGTGAGGGCCCACATTTTCCCTAGTTTTCCTTTTCTCCTTGACATACCTATAGAAGCTTTTTTTGGTGCCCTTGACATCTCTGGCCAAATTTAATTCTGCCAGGGCTTCAGCTTTCCTAGCCTGATCCCTGGCCATTCATGCAATTTCTCTGTATTCCTCCCAGGTTACCCGTCTGTCCTTCCACTCTTTGTAAGCTTCTTTTTTGATCTTAAGTTTGTTCAGAAGCTTCTGTCCATCCATGCAGGCCTCCTGTCGTTTTTGCCTGCCTTCCTCTTTGTTGGGATGCAACACTCCTGAGCTTGGAAGAGGAGATCCTTGAGTATAAGCCAGCTGTTCTGAGCCCCTCTTCCCTCCAGGAATTTATCCCACAGTACTTGACCAAGCAGGTCCCTGAAGAGTATAACCTATGCCTTACTCTGCCATAAAATAATTGCTCCTCCTTATTACAAGGACACTGCAACATTTCCACAGAGGGCATCTTTCAAAAGAGTCACATCCACTGTGCCACCCAAACTGTCTCAATTTCAGCTTCTGCAATTATAGATCAAGCTGGCACAATAGGAAATGAGTGTGCTTCAAATCACCCCAAGTACATCTATTACTACACTTACCTCCAAATAACTCTCTGAGGCAGCCTCGCCAGAGCATGTGCTAACTTATTTGCTATATCTTCTGACAGGTATTTCACTCCAGCTCCAAATGAGACGAGGACAAAGCCATTTTCGTTAGCACCATTCACCCACGTTTGGAGATCCTGTTGAAGTGAAAATTTATACTGAGCACTGTAGAAGCATATGTAAAACACAGAAACAGATTAAATAAACATTGCTTAGGAAGAACTGTTGTTGGTCTCTATGTTACTTCACAAGCAAAGTTTCAAAAGTCATAAAAATTTTAGAAATTGCCAAGTACAGCGACTCTATAATTCAGAATCCATGGTACAGGCTACGAACAGTAAAATTCTTCCAGGTTTCTTTTAGCTTCTGTATTAGCAACCAGCTTCCTAAGATAATTTGTCCTTTTTTAACTGATCTGTTGACACACATTCACAAGTTAACACATTACATTTTAACTCAGTAAAATAGATCTATCTTGTAGTATCAGCCTAGAAGTACAGCACAGGAAATACATGAAGTCTGGGACTTAGCTGTGTGATTTCTAGCTTTAAAGAAAGTGAGAGTACTTCAAAGGGGTTGTTTTTCTTTCATTTATATAAAAATAATAAACACCACTTGAAAGAAGCCAGAGTTTCAAAAAACAAACAAACAAGAAGCCCCCACACAAAACCAACAAAAAAAAATCCAAACAAAACACAAAACCCTTCTGTTTCCACTGCTCCAGAATTTCAAGGAACAACATTGCATCCGTATGGCAAGCACAGGGTGGATGTCCCTCTTTCTTGGACCTATATACTTTATCTTCCTGAGACCTGTGTGCCTCTTCCACAGCAAGTTGACAGTATTATATTAAATATACACAAGTTTAACAAAGGCCAAAGCCCTTTACATCCTTAAGCTCATACTCCTCCTCCAATTACTCTGAAATTGAATCTCTCGCAATGCAATTTTTGCTGATCCTCTTGATTCGAGGGCTGCCTCAACTCAGGTAAGGAAGGCAACAATGCTGTAAGCAGAGGTCTGCAGTACTGCACTGCTCAGAAGCACTCCGAAAGCAGAACCAACATCAAGCTCCTGCGGGTAACTGATGGCCACGCCAAGAGATTCAAGTTCAGAGGCAGCAGCTTTTACAGCAGGGCACCCTGCGACACTTCTTCTGCAGCAGGGTCAGCTTCCCCTGCCTTCTGCTGCACAGGGCTTTGGGGCTCTCACTGTGAGATGCTCAGCCCACGCCTCATGACTGGTGGGAGTCACCAGTGGCTGATCCAGGGGTTCAGTGCACTAAACACCTTGGTGCCTTTGGTCCTAAGTGTACCCTTTGCTTTTGGAAATACACACTTAAATTCTGTTTTTTTCCAAAGCAACTGTTGGCAGTAGGAACTAAAAAAATTATACCACTGACATACAGATATGTCAGTCTGCCAAAGCGTATCTTACATTTCCCAGGATACAGTTTTATTCTGGTCTCACTAAATTTAAGTGCAAGCCTGCTCAACACCAGTACAGCAATAGGAAATGACTAAAAAGAAAATCAAGAGCCCTGTTCACAAAGGTCTCTTGTCCTGGAAACAAATAGCAGGCCAGACAGCAAGAGACTAATGCTGTGCTATCCTATATGAGCACAAAACCACAAAAGCTACCACAAAAACCAGCAGGCATAACAAAGACCTGTGCATTACACTGAGGGCTGGACACTAGTCTCTGCTATGCGGTGAAAAAGGGATTTCCATTTCCTCTAGAAATTTTTCTTCATCCATTTCCACTGCACTTTCTTTTCCATTTTTTTTTTTTCCCTACATCTGTGGAGGGAAGGGGGAAGAAGGGAAAGGAGGGAAAGGGTCTGTAACCTGCCTCATAGCTGAATCATTTATTATGGGCTGAACTTGTGACATTAAAGTTTCCAAGTGGTTTTGGGATTTATTTAAAGTTTGTCCTTGAATTTTACTTAACCTAAGGCATGCGCAAAGGTAATTATATCATAGTCACTTTTACTTAGTGGTTCAACTAGTTACATCTTGAACTATCTCCTATCTGTTGTTTAAAGCTAAATAGAAAATAAACTTTCATGGGCTCTAGGACAAGTCATTATGAAAAGCAATCAAGCACCATGCTGTAAAAGACAGCTCTCTGCCCATTTGTGACATTTGATCAAGTTATATTCTGAGAGCTGAAGTCACCTCTTATAAAGTGGTTTTACTTCTCACATCTGGAAGTAGGCCAACATTCACAGGCTCTGGTCTTCACAGGGCACTCACCCACCCCAATATCTGCTGGAGAGGCTGAAACCTGGAGGTTTCTAGTGTGCCTTCTCGATGACAACTCCATGGCACAGGTGCTCAAAAAGCCAACAATGGGAGACACTCTGCTGGACCTCATACATACAAACAAAGTAGATCTTGTCTGGGATGCAAAGGTCAGGGGCAGCCTTGGCTGCGGTGACCATGAGATGGAGGAATTTGGGATACTGAGAGGACAAGGAAGACAACGGCAGCATCTCCTGGACTTCAAGAAAACCAACTCTGGCCTCTTCAGAGGCCTGCCTGAAAGAGTTCAACAAGGCCAAATGCAAGGTCCTG